GTTAAGTAAGAAACCCCTTAAATACTGAATATACCTGAAAAAAGGATGGGTGTTAGAATTCGTTATCACTAATTTCACGATTTCGGTGTAGATGGGAACAAGAGAAAGCCAGGAGAGGTGTGCGTAAAACTACCAGAAACTCATCTGGGAAACCTAACGTTTCTGAGGTGAGGAACGACTTGGGAACTGCGGCTTCTTCCGAAAATGAAAACAGAGTGAAAGGCGATGGGTCATTAGCAGAAGACAAAAACATCCTCGGCGAAAACCTCCGCGAAGGGACAACACTGTCCAATATGGACACTGTGGAAGATGTTGAAAGCAAAGACATGGACACCGAAAAGGATAAAAAGTCAGAAGCACGCCAAGGTGCAAAAATCGCAGAGCCTGAAGAAGTATCTTTTGCGCGAGAGGAAATCACAACACTGATTGCAGAGGAAAAACGCACGTCTAATCTCAAAGTAGATCTTCAGGAAAAGCTTCAGCAGACGCGAAAGGAGGTTGAAGCTTTGGAAGAGCTCTTACCCAAGAAGATAAGCAGCGAAGAGAATCGAGAAATCTTGGGTCTTCTGTGCAAGGTTCACGAGCTCGAAATTACCAATGCTGAGCTCCAGTCGAACTCGTTACTCAGGGAGAACTTGCTACGACAAAAGGACTTGGAGATGAACAAGTATGATTCACGGCAACGGTTGTGTGATGAAATTATTCAAATGCAGAGATCTGTTATCAACGGTAAGCTTACAGAAATATGGTAACATAGGGCTTTTTAATCGTGCAGCCTAAAATCACAGCAACTCATCAGAGAAAAGGAAAATTATACTTCAGCAATTTACAATTAAATGTAAATTCCTTTCCTTATGCCTGTTAGATTCTGGAGCGCAGTGTTCTGCAGAGCTCGAAGCACTTTATGATGTGTACATGGAGCAATCAGCTGACTTTGAGCAACGCGAGAGCAATTCAAGTGAGCAGAAGAACGGGGAAGGCTCTTTGAACACGTTACAAAAGGTAAACCACGCTTGATCGACAATACTTCAGGCATTCGTTAAAAAATCGGCTACTAGTGGGCTTGGGAACTCGTACCTGAAAGCCTAGCATAGTAGGCACGAGACAATCCATAGTTATCCATAGCAACCCCACAGGTAGAAACCACTCTAACGCCAACAGACTAAACCTTGACCAACCTGGCCCAATGATGGCCTTCACGGACAAACTCTTTTTTCTTTTTTACCCTTTTCAATGAGAAAGGTGGAAATGACGAATCTACAGGTTTCAAAACTCACATAAGAAATTGGTATAAAAAGATCGATCGACTGCAGGCAGCATGTGGTCTGTTCCTATGAAAATCGCAGGTCGTAAGCAAAGACGCGTGAGATCTTGTCATCCACATCTGAAGAATATTTTTTGTCCGCATTTGAGTCTACCTGAATAATGCATTTAATTTTTTTATGTTGTTGTTTACACCAGGCTTCACTTCTTGCCGGAATAAATCGCCGAATGATGCCCTTAGCACGAGAGAAGTTGTGTAAGTACTATATGCAGTATTCTAGTCGCCCTTGTACTGGATTGTAAAGATTTCTGTGAATAGTAACTATTTAGAACATTTTCCCGTAAAAGTTTGACGTTTGGTTGAATTGTGCTGGTCCAGCTCCTGTAAATCTAGTGTTTTAATTTTCGGTGATTTTTATTTCTCTAAACCAATGATTGTCGCGAATTCTTCAACGAAACTCTTGCGGTGTCGCAACGAAGGTCCAAGGTTCTCTAGAAGGAGCAGTGGCATTTTCTCACAAAATTTCCATTGTTAGGTCAGGATGAACTAAGTTACCTTCACCTTGTCTTTTACAGTCACATTCAGCAAGTTGTCGCCTTTGAGTGAGGAGACGCCTTCTCGTCTGGTGTCACTTCAAAACTCACCCGTTAAGATGTCACGTACCACACCTTCTGCTTGCACACAGATTTCGGATGACGTGTTCACACGGGAAATCAGGTAACATATCTTCTTGTGTTTAACCTTTTATCTTCCATGAGTGACCAGGAGAGAATTTTTCCTTACAGTATCAGTACAATATCAAGCATAGAAGTGATGAGAGTAAAAATATCAATCAGGGGATTATTAGTTAATCCAGTACCAAATTTTCCAAATTGACAACATAAGAATTCTATGTCAGACAGTAAAGAGAATTACCAATGAGATCTTGGGAGTGAAAGGATTAAGAGTTCTGCTGAGGAAGCGTTCCAGAAAATGTAATTGCAAATATATGCTTACATTTGATTTTTTTTAGTTCTCCTCTATCGTTGCCCACACCCAAGAAAACGAAAAAACTTCTGAGCCATACTGACGACGGTGAAAGCATACGCAGTTCACCTACCGTGTCCTCCGTAATGGAAGACTTGCACGAAGAGGTGGAGCTCGCTACCCCAGCCAGCCCTGTGTTTGCCCGAACGCGAAAAATCGCTCAGATCGCTGCACGCCGTCGAGGTGGCCCGGATAAGAGTCCTAAAACTAGCAATAATAGACTAGGAACTGGTAGAGAGCTCCCTACAAAGTCTAGTTCTGTCACGGACATGCGCGTGCCTGATCAAGCTCCCGAAAGTCAAAGTGTACAGAGGGACAAAAGACTCTCGGTCAAGGCTTCGCGAAGTATGAGTGATTTGTCTGTAATTGACAAAAGAACAGGAGACGTTTCATCTGAAGAGGCGCCACCAGCGGACAAACCGAAGGGGGCTGGGAGGAGCAAAATAAAAAATGCCCCTCAAAGGAAGCCCAAGAGGTTACGTTCCGCATCATTAGATGAGTCTAAAGTTTTGAGAGGTGAGTTTTATGGCGTCTCTACCCACTCACTCCTGTAAAGGACGAAGCAGATAGTGACGTATTTATGTTTCTATATGTTTGGGCTATGCCCTATCGACATAACTAGCCCCAACACTATACAGAACGTTTGCAACATTAGGACTATCTTTTCAAGAATTCGTTGTGACTTAGTGGTGGAGTATTCCACCGTTAATACGGAGGGTCACTGGTTGGATTTCTCAATGGGTTCTGTTACTTTAAATTCATTTAAATGTCAGTGGCAAATGGACATAGCATCTTTAAAGACTGAAATAGTTTCTCTTTGTGTTGAATTGTTTTTTGAAAGTTTTATTGAAATGTTTTTTTTGTATTAGCAATTTTCTACCTGTCATTTATTCGGCCCGCCGTGTGATGCGATGCTAGTAACCACCACACAGCAGATTTTTACCTAGAGTCCAAAAAAATTTTCATACCAAAAAAATAGAAAGGCTGAGGATGCTAATTCCATGTGCTTTGACTTACTTTTGTTCAGTGAAACCTCGGCGCACTCGTAAAGAAGAGTTACAAGAGGCGGCAAGACAAAAAGTGGCCGCTGCATTGGCGCAGTCAAATACAAGGAGCAGAATGTATGGGGGACATGGCACAGAAGGACGCAAAGCCATCAGGACACGACAAGCCAGAGCAACGAGTCTCTCCAAGCCCATCTCAGATACAGAAAGTGGAAAAACATCGGCGAAACCTTCTGTTTCTGCCGCCAGTAATCCATTAGATGGTAAATGTTTTATCTGTTTTATAATATTCTTCCATTTGTGGTTCACCCCACAGGTTTTCTTATTACCAGGGTCCTTCTTCCCTTTGTCGAGCACTCCAAGAAACGGCTCCTAAAGAGACTGAACCCAATACCTGTTTGATTCGTCTCCTTTACACAATCTTCGCTTCTTCCTTCCTACTTTACCTTCTTCCTCTATTTCCTTATGATTATTTAATTAAGAGTTGCTCTCTGTAAACTTTTTCTGTCATTGTGATTCTCAGGAGAGGTGCAAACATTCTGGACAAACGTGACTCCGCCGTCTACTGTCCATCAGCATGGAGTTACTTATGGTAAAGGGCATACTATCCAAAAGAGATACCGTGCTCCTCCTGAGATCAGCGGAACGGATTCGAGCCAATCCACTCCGAGGCTCAAACCAAGGAAAAAGCCGTCGAATACTGGTACGAGATCCGTCGACGAACTATCAGTGAGTGGTATTGCTGTGCGTCCCTCCAAACAGGCTGCAGGTGTGCGCAGAAGTTAATTATAGCTGCTACTGAAGGTCCTGTCCTAAATGTTTCAAGAAAAGAACTTGTAGAAGTTATAGTGGATATCACTACTCAGTAGACCTTCTACTTCCTTTTTCTATGGCAGTTAGATCTGAAAGCTCTTGAAGCTCAAAATGAACGAGACTTCGATGTACCCACAGAAGTTGCGTTACAAAATGAGAAGACAGCCATTTTCCTGTGATGAAATATCGTTCGCTTAATGGAACTGTACAGTGCATTGACAATAAGCAAGTTCAGGTTTTATAAACACTGCATATTTAATATTGAAGACAAGGCAAGAGTGATTTGTTCACAGTTTATATGTACATAGCAGGATCCGATATTTATTCATGCAGGCTTTATTTTGGATCCTGAAAAGGAAATGTAAAGCTATTTATTAATATGTATAGTTTGATACTTTGTTAAATACTGTACGTTTTTCACAGTTGTCAATTAAAATAAACTGAGTAGTTAATAACCTCTCGTCTATGAGGTCCGTGTGATCTGGATTTGAGTACAGTCCACAAGCCCTTGACTCCATCTCGGAACCATTTTTACCCCCGTTTCAAAAGCGTCTGGTCCCACAATTGTTGTAAATATTCAGCCTGTGAAGGGTTAAAAGAAAGTAGAGGGCAGTTGAATAAAGTAACTTGAGCTCCACTTTTAGGCTTGGATAAAACTTGTTATTATTTGTATTAGTTTTAGATAGGAGTAGGGTAGTACATGAAATTGTGAGCTGTAGCCGATATATGCGTCGTGTTTGGAAAAAGCGCGCGAAAAACCTGTTGCCAGCCGCAGGAAAAAAAAAGGCAGGAAATCCCTATTCGTTTTGCTATGTTCCCGTTTCGCTTTGCTTGTCAGACACAGGAAAAGGAATGACTTTGGAAAAAAAGGTGGCGCTATTTTGTTTCCCCGATGAAGAAGGTCTATGAAGTACGAAACACTTTTTTTCAGACGAGGTGAGTGAGACATTGGCAATTTTTAATACTGTTTCAGTATTTGTCGGAGAAGAATGGATGTAAACACGAGCCTTGCCGATAACACTGAGCAAACTTTTAAATGATTCTTTGGAATGGAATACCTTGATAAAAGTTCAATGACATGTAAATTTTTCCTAGCATATTGTGTGTATATCAGAATTCTTACTCTTTTAAGAGTAAGACTCGGGCATTATTCGGGTTAATTTTAATTTCACTTTATTGCTAGCGCGGTCTCTGACATTGCGGAAATTACTCTTCCATGAATTCTTTTTCCTTTCGAGTAGTTGGAAAAGGTGGAAAGTAAAATGCAGAATCCTCATAACACTAAGACTTGGAGTGCTTTTTAAAGCGGTGTTGACACATTTTCACTTACCCTCTACCATCGACTTGTTCATACGTTTAACAATTACGAATGGTACTGAATTTTAACTACCAAGATCTAATTGCTAATTCTCCTCTCTAGCTGCTACACATTCACTTGTTAATTAGTTACGAGAAATAAAAAACCGGACACTATTTTCCAACATTCATTTTTCCATTCATTCAATTTTGATAATGTATATCGTGATAAACAAAAATTAATTGAATATTCATCAGCTATGTAGGACCAAATGGTCATCACGACTGATTGCAAAGCAAGATAAGTTGCAGAAGACTTGAAGTCTTAAATCTAGGTGAAATAAATGCAAATAAATCATGATGTAACTTGCTTTTTAAGAGACATACAAAGTTACAACGTCTAAACAACCGTGATAGGAGAGTTAGAAACTACAATACCCATGCTTTTCTGTGGCTGACCTGCTATGAAAGCAAAGTTGTTAATATGAATGTATGTGACTAACACGAACACCTTGATCTTGGACAATGATGCGGTCTGCTATTAATATCACAGAATTGGAAATGGCACCTGTTACTCCCACAAAGACAAAGTAAAATTTTTTTCTCTTCAACTGAATATCATTTGATCTCTGTCGCTATCACAACAACTGTTGTGTTCTTCAAATGATAATCCCTCATTACTGATTCATGCTAAGCGCGTTCCTCTTTTTCCTAAGCAAACTAGCGACAGTTATGTAACTTCTTTCATTGTCCCGCTGCGATGAATCCCGCCAAAACACCAGGACGATGTATGCTACGATAATTTTTGGATTATTCATATCAGTTGTTGGAAAAAAAAAAAAGAGGCAAACAAATTCAGCGACAAATGAAGGTGTAATTTTGCGAGTGCCATTTCCAAAGAAAAATTCCTCATTCTGAACAATTTGAAAGACAAGTAAACTCCGGTACACTTTCAAAACATCGGCCGCTGTGTGTGATTTCTTTTCCTTGTCTAAATTTTGAATAAAAGGAGTCTATTCCACTTTTTTTTTTCCCGAATCACCAGGAAACAAATTGTTACACGCATTAGGAGGCCCTTCCATGTTGCAGAGCCTCTTGAATCGGTCATTAGCTCCACGCCCAAACAGATTTCCTTCGAGTTCAAATAGTGCAAGAAAACGGAACTTTGTAGCTGGCCTTGTTAACAATACAACAACCTAAAATTGAACGATGCAATATCAAACTCTCTCCGACTTCGGGGAATAAATTGTTGAGCTAGGTAGTTGCTATGCACCTTACTAGTAAAACAGTTTTCAACCTTTGTAACAAGTTAATCACTACGGCAATTAACGTTTGCCAAGAAAAAATGTCAGAAGACAACCACTCATCTCCGAGCTACCTCAAAGTAGTTTGAAAAAATCGCATCATATTAGAAGGACAGACGAGTTCGTTTCACGTGTTGTATGAGTGTTGCTTCTGGAAGTCGCATCAACTCATGTCCTGAGTCAGTAAAGGTACCTATGTCGACTGGTTTCAGGTCTCGACACTGAATTTGTCGAGAGGTTAACTTTTTAAGTCACATAGTATGGCAAAGTATGGTATGATTGTGGAATTTTTATCTTCAAAACGACCATAAACAGCTGTGACATCAACAAAACCGGCCGACTTTTTCGGAATCTGCAATTCATGGATGTAGGTGGTATGTGTAGATGAAATAGACTATGACTATTTTATTATACTTTCATTGTTAGTCATTTTAAGATATGCGTCGCTAATACTGGCGCCTGTAAAAAGAATTTTAAAAAATAGTTATCAAGCCTTAGTGCTACGCTGTCTTTAAGACACTCTTTTCTTTAGATTAAATTGTTAATTAAATTATAGGCTCAGAAAATGTAAGTAATGTCTAAGAAATTTGCATCGAAACAATCTCGAGATTGTCGCTCAAAATTGGATGCAGCCAGAAAACTTCAAACTATCAAAAACGTTCGAACACAAGGCGCCAAAGTCTGTCGCCTCCAATCCATGGAGAGAGAAAATTATAGTTTAATATTCCTTTGCTTTACAAAACATAACGTCTAATGTTAAGACAGCTAACTTTTTTCGGCAGAAGATAAAAAGTTTTTGAAAAAAAACTTGAATAAAAATGGGCTATATTTGTATGCGCGCCGCCATAAAACCTAATTACCGAGATGAATATCATCGGTAGCTTAATTTCGGTCAGTTCCTAAGTCGTTCTTTATTTAAGCTAGATCAAGTTTTTCCTAAAGTGCAAATTTTGGTTTGAGAAATGCGTTACCTCAGCCTTCGGCAGCATTTCCGTATTCAACGGAAGAGAGTTAACCACCCCGGGAACATTACACTCAAAAGCTAATAGCTCCTTATGAACTTGCGCTTTAGTCTCGAGGGTCTTTGAGATCTAAGTAAGGTTGTGAGCTGCAGGAAAAAGTTGAACAAGTATTGAGCATCGATTTTATTAAGTAGTTGTCTTGACGAAACCTAGCTCCTGTAAGAAGAATTCATATTCAGTAATAATGGATTTGGCTTTCCTGATTAAATTCCAGTTCGTCTCATTTCTAATTTTCATTTTAAAGGAGATTTAAAATGTAGAGTTATCTGATTGAAACAAAGAGCTTTTACCTTTAACAAGTAATTCTATTATTTTGAACTTGAAACCACAGCCTCTTGGCAACAGCTATGCAGCAGAGGGAATTCGTTCTTTACAACATTTCCTGCTATTTTCTGAGATCGATCTAAGAAATCGAATGAACATGAAAGCGAGCAAAAGTTATAATGATATTTTCCACCGCGTGTTTCTGGGAATTTGGTGGATTAAAAGATTCTGGTTGGTGTAGAGAAGCCTGAATCAACCAAATTAAATGAGAGGGTGGATATGATACTGGTGCGTCGAAGCAAGTCTTTCTGTAGACTTGTAGCAAAATAAATAAGCCTCCTGCGGTTATTTACTTTTTCTGTTTTGGGTTGGGGTGGGCTTTGCTCCAACTGACAGAATTTTGTTGTTTAGTCGGCCGGAGGCTAACCCGCTTGATCTCTTGACGTAAATTGAAATCAACAAAGGTTGTAAGGAGAGTTTGGCGTGTTATCGGCTGGTTTGTTGCGTGGTACCTGCTGTGGTCGCTTCTTTTTTTCTTTTGATCTTGGTTTTTGCTCCAGTTCAATTCATCTCGAATTTTATCGGTTTCATATTGAGACAAGATTCAATGCATTAAAACTGTATACATTCATGTTTCAAAATCGAGTATGGATCGATTTGAAAGAATTTGAATTTTGTCCTAAGCTATGTGAGGAGGCAAAATTTCTTGATACCCGCCGAAAAAGAAGAATATCTTAATACTGTAATTTTCGTTTTTTTTCCTAAATTTTCTTAATTCGATAGTCATTCTTTCTACCGTTTGTGGTAACTGTGGAATAAAAACTTTCATTTACCACAGCTTTTGTTTAAGAGAGAGAGTGATCTTTTTATTGAACATTTAATTACATCTCGCTTCAGTTATTGTGTTTACTCATCGCTTACGTGAAAAATTTGTCTGAACATTGAACTCCATCAGTCATGGTACGAATAGGTTTTTGAAATGACTATCTATGGAGTAAACATTGGTCCTGTAATTTTATACAGCGGTTGTCCTCCAAGAACGTTGTTTTATTGTCCAAGACTATATTATCTCAAGTTTTCTACCCAAATCTTTCAGTATGTAAAACCAACCCAAAGAGGACAGTCATTGTTTCTGATGAAACTCATTTTTTTTCCGTTGAAAACGATGGAAGTCTAGTGCCAAAACCGTTTTAAACCAACATTTATCTTGAATTTTGTTATTTTCTATTAGACCTGACACCCACCACACCAAAAGATTCTTCCGCGATCGGTTAACATTTCGCCTAGGAAACAAAACTTCAGTCGCGGAAATATTGACTTTCATATATTCGCCTTCAATAAAAAGAACCCTATGGGTTCTTCTCAGCGTATTCTGTGATCTGTATTGAACTATTGTCCAAGTATTAAAAGGTCCTGTTGTTTCTTGTGTTCCATTTTTGCGGAGGGTGCATCGAGAAAACCCCAACTTAACTGTGCTGAACATGTTTAGGTCATTTGTTTACTTTTTTTTTCAATCTCCCTCTAAATGCTCACTCGAGGAACAATAATAACAAATCGGCTTTTTTTCCAATTATTTAGTGGGCAATTCTAGCCTGGTGGTGTCGTTAATATGTTCAGATAATGGGAAACCAGTTAAAGCCTTTTCCCACCATGTGTCTCGAATGCTCAAATTGTATTACAGCACTCGTAATTTTCACAAGTAAAAATGGTTAATCAATACAACGTGTTTAGATCTTGTTGAAGAAAAGCTTTTCTTTTCATTTGCGTCTAAATGACCACATACTGAGAGGAGATCTTCAGTGGCCTCCCAGAGCTGAGCTAGTATCACTTCCAATTACCTGGCTGCCCAATGGCATCTTAGACATATAATAAAAAATATATAGCCTTATGAAGCAACACTACAATACAATGGCAACTTGGTTAAACAAAAATGGCTAAATTTTGAAAAGGTCCATTGTTCGGGAAAGACTTTTGCATCACAAAAGCGAACGTTTTATTTACTTTTTTGTGTGTGCTACTCCGAACGATACCAAGACCGAGCAAAGGACGTGAGAAAAACCCCTCAGACAGTGCTAATTGTTTAACACTTCCTTGAGCATGAATCACTGCAAACGTCTTTTCAATTCGGCTAAAGCTAACAAAATATTTCCAGGAAAAAGAATCATTCCATGTGTAGAGATTGAATGGTAACGAATCGACGAATGAAAGAGGCCATCCGTACCCTGCAGTCGTGTAATATCTTTAAGTAACCCTTTGTTTCGTTTCATATTCGCAAATGGTAGAACGCACTCAACAAACGCACTTGTAAATTACATTTCGTAATCGTAAATGGATTAGGTTTTTGGACGGTTTTGTTAATTTTTAGCGGTATCCTCTAAATAATTATTTCGTTGCATGCTCATTTCATTTCGCGCTTGAATTTATCTGTTTTTTTAATTTTTTATTTCCTTACGGCAATTATTATCACGAAACCAAGTAAGCTTTTATGCAGCCCGAAAAAAAATTCATTTAGGTAATCAATATCCATTTCATTTGCACTTCCACATGACATAAATTTATCTACGTTTTTAGACCTTTGCACCCTGTGCAAATTTTGAGCCAAGGAAAGCAAAAAATGTCAGTATATTTATCGTAACGCTCAGCAAAATCTCTTTTTATCACTATAATATTTTTCTGCCCTTCGAATTGTAGTGAATAAAGAATAGAGGAGTGAAGGCTGAAAGAAAGCGGACATTTAAAAGTTTCATCTCTATTTCCTTTAGAGGCGGATACATTTTTTGCTTCACTGACGTTGAAAGACTGTATTTTTTAATTATTTCAATGAAGACAACATTCACGTAACGCCTGCAAGTTGGAGTTTGATGGCAAAATGTTGAAATATCTGAGTGTGGGAAGAAGCTGAAGACAATGATAGAAATTGTAATTCTTTTCTTAACACCTCGGCACAATTCCCTCTTATTTACCTTTTGGTTGCTGTAACAACAGCATGATGTTCTTCGCAAGAATTTTCCTGAATCTTTCGTGAATGATGAACAACTTTGTGGATACAAAACATTAGCGGTTTCTTTCACTACCGACTAAATTGAGCAATACTGAGTAGGCAAAGTACACCATGATAAATTGATAGTTTGGAGCAAAACACATTTTTCCTTAGGTCTGCAGGAAAAACCAGTAATCACCTTACTCGAATAACCATTTATGTCTCTGACTGAGTTTTCTTTTGAGTGAAGTATATTTTGCTGGATTAATCACCCTCTTAGGCGTAAACAGTTCTCGCGTACTGCTCAGTGTCGCCTGATTTCGAATCACTTCGAAAATGACTTATGATTTAAAAATCGATTAACGTTTTAATTTAAAACTCATTAAATAATCCATGGCGGGGTTCAGAAAAACAGTGCTTATTGAAGTTTCGATTGAGAGAGTCTCGTCAACAAGTAAAGCAATAACACCATTTCCCTTTGCTTGAAATATCCATTCAGGGCTTTCATTTCTCAACTAGCCAAATCAAATAAGGTAGCGAGTCGTTCGGTAGGAGTTTTCTCTGAAACAATTTTAACGCATAGTAAAGAACAGCTTTTAGGTTATTCCTTTACAATTTGGATTTGAGAGGAGGAGATTTATTAAACATCAGCGAGGAAGGACTGTGTTTTCTTCAACACATAAAACCTTTCTGCGAATGGTGAAGGAGAGATTCGCACTGGATAGAAGATCAGCCCTCTTAGTGTTTCGTGTTTGTTCTTAATCATGATTCAGTTCAAATTAACAAAAGCTTCCATTTAGATTCACAAAGGTGGAGGCTAAAGAGAGAATTAGCGCAAACAAGCTATCTTAGAGTCAATGCGCGTAAACCGTAATTTTTTTTTTTGACTTAGCACTGAGTCAAGTTTTCACCTGGGCACCAAAAGGAAGGAAAGGATTAAGGTTTATTTGAAATGCACAGGAATAGTAATGGTTCCAAACATTTCTTACGAGGAACGATGATTCTTGAAAGCGAACACAAAAAGGTGAGATTATGACTCATCTATTGGGAGTGACTAACGAAATAAACACATGCGTTCACAAAGGCTCGAACAAAAGCATTTCAATTTACTTTTTAACCAAACAAAACTACCACAGGGTACATTTTTACGCTAACAGTTCTTATTCGGTTACCGTCCGTAGCATGGACCCCATAAAAGACGAAGGAAGAAATAATAATGGCAACTCGCCTCCGCGCGGTCTCACTCTATGTACAATAGTGGGTTTGCATGATGAACGACACTTAAAGGACTATTACTCTGAATGTTAATAGAATATAATATTTGTGTACCGACATATTTGTTGTATGCTGCGCTATTTGCAAAAGGGCTAATCGGAAAAAAAAGGGCATGTATACTCAACTCGTAAAATGTGCGATGTGGAGAAGCCAAATTTAAAGCAGTGATCTGGTGCTGATAGTCTTTTGTAACACCTCTCAATAGAACATGACTTTGCTGCTCACTTTTAGAACTCTTTAGTTGCTTTTTAATTATCAACTCTGTGGGCCATAGTTACAAAGCCCTCGTCCTGTGTTGTAACACGCAGTCCAAATTGTTTCTTGAGGATATTTTTCTAAGTGTTTGATTTTTCCCTCGTGTCTTAGAAATATCTAGAAAGTTCTCTTTTATTGCACTATTCTTTTCGTAGTCCGCCCCAAAAAACATGAACTTTTAACCCTGAGTTTTTCCTCTTTTTCACTGAAATTTTAATCAAGGGTGTGTAAACAATGTGAATGGACATAAATACTTCGTGATTTACATGACAATGACAGATATTTCAGTGAAGGTGACGCAATTTTCACACAAGGAATGGAGCCAATTGGTCGTGACAATACTCGAAGTGAACGTCTTGACTTTGCATATTTAATGAGTGCACCTGCAGAACAATTAATGTAGCTTTAATTTACAAACGTCTAACACACCGATACAGCGTCAGTAAATAGTCCCTTCAAACGGCATAAATAGCGTGTGACTTTGGCACAGAACTGAATATATCCGAACGCCTTTGTCGTCAGAGGACGAGTGCGCGGAGAACGTACTGCGAAATTATCAAAGTGAACATTTGGCACAGTTTTCCTCCGCCTTAGGGATTTTTCTTGCACATCTTTGCCGTTTACATTTATTTTTTCGAATTTCTAAATGTTGGATTCGGGAATGGCCGCGAAATCGAAGTTTAACGATCCACACCTGGTTAACTTATCGGATGATGGTCGTGCTGTCAGCCGAAAGGAAGATCAATCCACAGCTGGAAGTTCTCTTCTAAACTTTATGAACTTGGCGTCCGGGAACGTAAAGACCGCCTTAGAAAAACCAGCCAACTTTAAAAGGAACATTAACCACCGCAGGTATCTTCAAAAACAGCTGCGGAATTATTCAAAGCGGAAGAACGACATAACCACAAAGAAACCCAAAGACGTTCTTAAGCATAAAACTCACAGCTTACACGGTGACAAACATGGCACGTCGAGGAATTCTTCAAGGCAAGAAGGGAGTTCTAAAAGATCTGAACGGACTGTAGAAGCTGTCAACTTCGAGAAATCCTCACTTCGGGAAAGGAACCTTCCCCCTTCATTCTGGCAGGAACCTGTCATTCCAGACGGAACAGAGACGTACATGTATCCAATGTATCCCTTGCAAGCCAGGGCCGGAGAATCGGAAGACCCTTACAACCCCGTTTTCGAAAGTTACTTCGAAGGTTGGAACGAATGTTTAACAAGGGAAATCCCCGTTGAAGAACTGTCACAAAGTGGATCTGCACTTTCTGTTTCATCCGAAGAAACCAATTGTGATGATTTCATGACGGGAGAAGAACTTACTCGTAGTATTGACATTAAAGATCTGTATGTACCCGAACTTTATTTAACAGATAAAAGCCCGCTAGAGTCATCTCAAGGGGAGAGCCTTTACCTGGCACCTATCTCACCCACTCAGTATGTCCTGACTCCTACATCTTGCTCAGATCAGGCATATTTTAATTTTTCGTTTGATCACGACCCATCGGGTTTACCGCCATTTGCCATGGCTTTTCTTAGTCCGGGTACCCTAACGCAATACTAATCTTCGTTCGTCATAGATCTAATGTCACATAAAATAGGTGACAATTATGAAAAAAATTGTGGTCATAGTATTAATGTCTACTCCACGGACAAGGATCACTGGGAAGGAAGTTTTCTTAAGACAACAGCTTCGTTTCGCAGGTTTTCCTGTAAATACTGCTTATTTAGATAGTTTTTAATAGAATATATTTTCATGAAACCGAGATGACTGTGCCTTTTGCAATATTTTGAAGAACGTGCAGTTTTACTGAAGAGAAGGAAAGTGACAATACTTTGGACTAACATGAGATCGAAGGTAATTAATTCGTTATTGAAATTATGCTTCCACGTCTACTCTGTGTTATAGTATTTAGAGAGGATAAATAAATCTTTGAGAAACAATCTTCAAAAGGTGGTCAGTTTATTTCTTGAAATTCTAACTGTGGTGACACGACTGGATAATTTAACCGACGAAAAAGATTATTCTTTCCCTTTTCACCTCGCCTCCGGAGTACTATACTACTAATGATTGTTGGGATGATTATTCAGTGAATAACAGTTTGCGAATGAATGGTGGCACTGGCGACAAATTTTTTAGGAACTTTTGTTATTTCTGAGAGAGGAACAGAAGATATAATATTGATAGATGAAAATTCATGTTACATGATCAGCGAGAACAGTCTTTTGTTTAACTCTTATTCAGACGTTTACATAAATATGTTTGGTATTCCGGAGTAGTGATTGCAATCGGTTCTTTTCTACCATGACAGCTGAGATGAAAATTTGAGAAGTGGGCGCAAACGATTATTTTTTTTATGACTAAATCTAAGGAAATATGATAAAAGGTAGGTTTCCGTTTAGTCTGCTAGACTGTCAAAGCTTGATAAGCTAAAACTCACACGGAATAATTAATTAAATGATTGATTGTTTGATTTTCTTCAAATTTTCCCTGGATGTTAAAATTGAATTTGAATTCTCAGTAAACAGGTTTTATTCCTGTTGAACAAAATGGTTCTGTGCGGTTCACCCACGTGCACGCAATATTCTGTGATATTTTGCTGTTCCGAATTTTCTTTGTCTTTATTTTGTCTGAACTGATACTCGTACCTTGCCATAACTCTATTGATCTTCGAAGTACATGTTATACACAAGATATTAAAAACGGTAATGGTACAATTTTTCCATATCCAACACATTTTATGGTTACCTTCGTCATTGTGAGAAGCTTAAAAAACATTTAGGTTTTAATTTTCAAAGGAACTGCCATAATCCCCTCCCCATTTTAGAGGATTGATTTTTATGTTCGCCGGCAGGTAATTCACTGAGATCACGGAACGCTCGCCGTAGGACAATGAAGAAAAATTCAAATGTGTCGTGCGTCCTGTTGTCTCAGCTATGTAGTTTACGCTTTTCATTAAGTAAAGCTGAGCAAACAAGCCATAGGATTATTAAATTGATTTTACAATGTGGGGAAAAAAACCCGTATTAGGGATCGTTTTCAATAACGTGCACGCAAAAAGACATCGTAGTGATCCTTCACTTTAAGAAGTGCGATTATTAAACTAAGACAAATCGAGACGTGAAACCGAGAATTATCGAGTTTAAGTCGGATATCGTCTTCCAAATATAGCTAGAGAATATATGAATAAATGTCTTCCAGCTTTCTTTTAGTAAACAATAAGGGAAGACGTTACTTTTCTCAACGCGGATGTTTCACCTGTAAGCGCATGCGTTGTGAAAAGCTCTTCTCCAAATATCTATGTGATAGGACTGACTGCATGCAAGATCATGAATTAACACCTTAAGCAGCCTCCTAGCATTATATTTCCTTGGCATCGAAATCCAATGGTTGAAATCAAAATTTAATTTGAAGGAAAATGCGCCATAACAGGATAAGAAAACTAGAGGAAATAACAGTTAAGATGATAACCTTTTCTGAGCACTTCCAATTCATAAACTTAATAATTATTAGGAGATTGGCATCCATTTTAAAAGTCGCTTTCAAAAACTGAATCTGTCTCAAAAATGAATCCTTGACTTGACAAATTTCTATATTCTCTTAACTAATGGCCTTGATAAGAACTTATGCCTTAAGGAGAAATGATAATATGACTATATGCAACGTTGATGTGATATATATCGTCTGCATGGTCTTATCTCAATCCGTCCATTACACGTGCAACTCGAAATGCAAATGAGAATGTTTCTTTTAACATGATCGTGCAGTCAGAGTGATTTAGATGCTTTTTAAACCAAGTACGGAAACAACGTGCTTCGGAAAAGGTGTCGACTTTCACTGAAATCTTGCTGTTGCCTCAGCACCGATCAGCAGAATTAACACTGGTTGTCTTTCAGGGATAATTTCTTGTGATGAAAAGACATCGCATTTGGGGACATCAAACATTGTAAGCTATTAGTTACTTTTATTGGATAGCTAACTGTCAAATCGCAGTCTACTTAAAGGTTCGCAGCTCAACTCGTTTTCAATTTTTGCCATGACAAGCTTTCCGTTTCCACATACTTGAACTAAGGACCTGCTATTCGCAATTAAATGTTAGAGACGAGAATGAGACAAGAAAGAACCGATTACAAGTTCCTTGACACTGTTGTTGTTTTTGTTGTTGTTTTGTTTTTGTTTTCTGGTCTTTTTGGCACAAATAGGCTTTCTTGGTATTCAATTCCCACATAAACCTCAATAGCATCTGATGACAGCTCAAACCAGTAGCGACACTGGCCTCTTTGTTCAATCTGTACCAAACCTTAGCATAGCAACGTAAGATGTCAAGATACTTTTCTTGTGGTCTGTTTTTCGAGTTTGCCTTTAACTGTAAATGTATAAGTTATCGTTCACTTTCTATTGTTGCTACGTTTAAAAGACAATGGGATGAGGAATGCACTTTTTGGGTTTGTTCTAAAAACGCGATAAGAAAATTGTTTCCTTTCCCTTATTTTCAGTAAGGAGGGGATGCATAGTGGGTTTGGTATATGACTTCTTTCATATTAAGTCGGTACACCATGAATAAATCAGATCGAACTCTATTATGTCATTTAACCCACAGTCAACTCATACAGTCAGGGGATTAAATGATTATATCTAGTTTCATTATGGTTCTAGAGAAAGACAAGTTCTAAAGAGTTAAGTTGTTATGCACGGCTTCCTAACTACCCTACAGCATATTGAATGGAGTAATTTTCTTGCGTTTTCAAATAAAAAGGAGTATGACATAGAAGTAGAAAAATTGGTGAAGACGGTCATTACCGTGCGCTATCTGAAAGAGCAACAAAAGAAAACGTGCTTTAGAATCTTTCCATACACAGTTGATGAATAATGCACAAAAGTACCTGTTACACAGAACACTGAAATGTGCTTTACTCAACGTGTCGTCTGCAAAATAAAATAAAATAAAAAACTAAATTAGAAACCTGCTTTTCTGAAGTTTATGTTTGATTACAGAAAGGAGACACTGCAAGAATGACGAGGCCACGTTGTATTTTGATAACACAAAAGAGCACAGTATAATTGTTGTTCAAACAATATATGTTTTGCTATGGAGTTGAACTAATGCTGGCGCGGTTCATTTGAGACTTGAGCAAATCCCTTGGACGTGTGTTAATTTTTAAATAATTAAATTGTAGGACTTAAATAATAGCGCAAAAAAATAGACATGAGTTAAGACCGGTACCAAAAACACACGTGTTTTTGTCACCGTCTCCCCCTGAATGTCTTTTTGTTCTTTACATTAGGTTTGTGAGAGACGTAACAATCATTTTCAAGAGTGTAACAGCTCAACAGCATCTGATGCACTACTTCTTAACTGTTCACACTATTTTGAGTTTTTCCCTTAAAATATTCCCATCTTAATAAAAGAACGGTCCTTATAACTGATAATGAACTGGTACCCAAGTTATGAAACAATTCACACTCATAAGGCCAAGGTAGTACTTTCTGTTTCGACAATACAAGAAAGTATGTTCTCCTGGGCTCGCCTTTTGGTATAGTTGGTTCTAAAAGTAACTGCTTATTAAAAATAGATTCTTAGACATTTCCCACCAGTTGTGTACATCTACAGCAGGATAGCTTTTAGGCAGTAGGGCCAAATTCGTGGTTTTGCGCAAAAGAAAGACGGAAGCTGTATGTAAGTGTGATAAGAGTGCAATTTAACAAGATTGTTTTGACTTGCAGATTTCTTCTGTTGCCAGACAGACGAAGTCACCTTACACTCATTGAAGAAGAACTGTGACTCATTTATTCAAAGTGCGACGTTAGCCATGTGCGAGAAGTGGCTACCATACAAAAGCAAGACAGTGAAAGTATAGTCTTGGTAGACAGCTCGGCAGGGGGTTTGAGGCTATTATTCTCAGTAAATATAGACTATTTCAGTCCAGCTTGCTTATTCAAGTGTGATACAACAGATTATAAAATAAATAACATTTTTTAAAAATGACATATTTAATCACTTGACTGTAATGTTATAAGTAATGTTATAAGCACTTTACAATCTATCCCGCATATGATAGATACTTTCAACAAAAAGAAAGATATCATTCTGATCACACAAAAAATAATTTAACTATTTTTTTGGACGCAGTATTCATTCGCACCCTCTCTCACGGCTTTTTTTAATGTGCACTGAGCACTTAAATGTGTTATTTTATGCTAAAAAAATACAGAACATAAATTTTTTGATAAACAGAGTAAGAATTTGAAATGCTCACAAAAGTTCTCCAGCAAATAAGAATTAGCGACCCATCTCAAGGGATGAATTTGGCCCACAAACACCATGCTCGTTTTTTTTTTCTTTTAGATCGAAGACATTTAAGTAACTTTTCAACGCGATAAGCAGAGGCTAAATGAGATTTGAACTAATAAACTGCTTGAGCTGAACTAAGCTTTGTGCTGATGTTATGATCTCTTAAGTTGGCCTTGTAGTTTGAAGAAATTTAAAAATAGAGCTCTTTCCTAATAGCATGTGTGTGTTCCTGCGTGAATTCAGCCAAATGACAATTTTCCCTGCAATTTGCAGTCATCAAAATTCTTCTCGGTAAGCGTATATTCTTGGTGACGTATTGAGAGCTTTCCTTCTTCCGACTAAGACGTACGAATCTGCAAGATGAGCCAAGAAAACTATCTTTTCCTCGGCTTCTTATTCTGAATAATGTTCCATTTGTTCCCAATAATTTCCTCCACTGAATTAAGAATGATTGTCATGAATAAGATCAGTCGAATCGCGTACCAGTGAAGCTTTACTCCAAAGATAACAGATGAAAAAGATCACTGAGCAAAAAAACCAAACCAACGAGCAAACAAATAAACACAAGTGGCATGGGTGTTCCTTCTGACCAAGTACCTTACTTAAGACATTGATACTCTTAAAAATTGTACTGGTTTTCAATTACAACTGTAAATTAGGGAACTGAACATAAATTTTAATTTATGCAGAAAACTTCTTTCATTAAGGGAAAATTTTGCCTTGGGCTCTCTGTTGTTACAATTCAATTATTCAGCTAGCAGAAGACAAAGGAACTTGTTAAAAAAAAAAACTTAGAACCAAAAAAACTTGCCAGCAGCAATTCACGTCACTTAGTGGGTGTGAACTTTTAAATGCTTTTGTCCGTTCGTTAATGTCGTTGAATCTTTTGTTTTTCTTTGTTTTAAGACATTTTCCCTTTCGCCAGTCTGACGTCAAATAAGGCACTTTTCCTTCCTTAGGACCGCGTGTCTTGATCAGTTACCATGTGCTAAGGATAAGAGATTGCTATATTGTCTTGTTTCATGTTTTTTTAATTCTCTCTCAAAACGATACACGATATACAACCAACAAACTCAAATCAATTTGGCGACGTTCATCAACAGTTAAGTGTTTTTCTTTGTTTTTTCTTTGTGTTTCATTTCGCATCGTGTTTATCTTGTGAGAGAGCCCTTATTAGGTTTTATTGTCACGTCTATCTTTGTGTTAGTTCAATTTCCATCTTCCTTCAGTTACCAAAAATTCCCTTTCTTGCTCACTGAAAAAGTTAGGTAGAGATTTATTGGGTGAAGGCGCCACCCTGGCGGAGAGATTTTATAAAAGATTTAGTAGCATTTAATTGTATTCAAGAGGCCGGAATCAATCCGAACACATTAAATCCTTTCCGAATCATCGTTTTTCGTGTGAAAGTATTAGAAGACATTCATTATAAAGGAAGTTTTAAAATATGGTTTTTAAGGGGAAAGACATTAGGGTACTTCGGATGTAATGGCAATTACATGATTCAGTTACTGTCAACAAAAATGACTTGTCAGAATATTTCTAGTTTCAAGTTCGTTCATCCGATCACGACAAGAACAACGTAAAGACATCGAGAGAGGAAGTAACGCTTCACTTTCAGAATACCAATCTTTATAAGTGAGAAAAAAATGGTAACGAAAAGCCCAGATTACAGTTGTTATTCTGTCCTAAAAGATTGTTTTTCGTGCACGAGTTGGATGGGTGAAAATAGCCAAAACATTTTTATTTCATGTTCTTTATCATTTTAGAAATTTGACAACTTTGATGTTCTTTGTTTATATTTTGGTCTCACACATTACCGACTTTATTGTCTACAACTTATAAGGCTTCCACAGCCAATTGTTTCCAGCTACTTCCTAATTAACAGATCTGCACACATACACAGCAATTTACACTTCTTTCTTTAAACCAGGTCCGTAGATGAGAAAACCTCCTCGTTTTGTTTTTTGTCATTATTCAACATTTGTTTAAAAATGACCATAGAGGAAGGATCTAAGTAAAGCAGTAAAAAAAGAAGACAATGTCAACTCATTGTTAAATAAAGACAGGTGACGCCGTCTTTCTAGGGTTATTGTCATAACCTGACGTATTCCTCTAGGTCATAACTAGTATTCAGGACATATGGCAAGTAGTTCTAACGAGAGGCAATACAAAAAAGCTGAAAAAAAAGAGGGGCGAGGCATTGAGACATCTAAAACAAAAACGTCTCAGTCTCTGTCTTTAGACGCATAACATGTTTGTTCAGTCTGAAAGACAGAAAAGCGATTAAATAAAATAAAACAAAAGTATTAAACTAAAGAGGAATTAACTGGTGACACTAATCCTGCTTTGATGATAGCGTCAAATTGTCATGAAAATCGTGAATAAATACATTTCACATTGATATCATTCCCTCCTCCCCTCAACCCTATGCAAAGTTGAATTTCGTCAATTTCATCATATTTTATTCAATTATTATTTTTTTCGTTCAATTTTTTTCGGGGAGGAAAGGGGGGCGTTTAGCGTACCAAACTTACTGTAACCATTGATTGCAGTTCTTGAACACTTCCTTTGAAGTGAGCCTGCGTATTGCTTTATATTTTGAAGTTATGTGAGTTTCCTACGCTGAAACGGAAAGGTTAATATTGTGAAAGGAATGAAGTTTGATCATTTCTATTCTACGCATCAAAAAGCCTTTTAAGGAATGGTTGGCCCTTAGTAATCGTCTCTGAATCTGATACATAACCTGTATTCGTCTAGCGGAATAAAAAAAAAACAAACAAACAAACTGGCCGGACCACTTTCTAGATTTTCACGGTTAACCGTAAGCTATACTGAGTAAATTTGAGTTGTTTTCCTTGATCGTTTGATCGTTTTCTCTTTTTCTTCCTGTAATTCGTAGAAATTAAACCAAAGCAAAATGATGAAGTAAGTCAGCCAGCAATGTATTATGTTATTGCAGTAGAAACTCGGTGTTTTAGGTAGTTGACGATTGAAATCAACTGGATGAAGTACGGTACAAGTTTAATGTGATTTTTATTCCCGGAATCAACCATTTCCTTTATTCATTATCACGAAAAAGCAATTTCGACACTGTTCAGTAAAGTCACCCTCAATGAAAAATCACCCCATCAACAGACGTATGAAAAGAATTCGCGCACTTTTTATTTACGCATGTCATGCCATGTTTTCATATCTATCGATATAACCTGTGATCTCCTTTACAGCCGATCTTCGAAATGTCACAATATCAGTCCCAAAGGAGACTTTCTGGCTGGTGAATGTTACCCACGTTTTTGTAACCGATGAATTTTTTCCACTCTTTCGAAGGAAACCTGTTTTTCACGTAAGCAAAAGCTTACATGGCTACACGAGAAAAGTTTTGTCGACTACGCACCTCAGTGGGGAAAGTCACAAACAGTTCTCTGTAACCGCCTGTTAGTCTTATTAAGACATAATTCTAAAACTTTTTTGATTGTGTGATTGTCCTACCTATTTAGACTTTGCCATTGGTTCCGTGATAAGTTTGTTACTGAACTAGCCGTACTATGTTCCCCAATGAAGGTCGACATAAATACAATTAGTCTCGCTTGAGCCACTCTTCTCCTAGTCAATAACAAATTCGTAGATTCCTTCACCATCCCTGCAAACTACCTCTCCTATGGTTAAACAATTGACGCACTGAGCTCAGAAATCCATTATTACTCGATGATCCCTGGCTCTTTTGCCGAGACTTTTTGGTGAATCTAACCTGGAACACCATATTGAAAAAAACGATTTGAACGTTCTTATTGGTTAGAGCAGAAGTCTCGTAATGCGAACAGGAGAACTCGCTTGCAGTCTCCCTGGCTTCTTCTTTGCTAACACTTCTTCCTCGGCGGAGATCTTTCTTGTTACCAACCAATATAACAGGGACCTGGCACTCCCCGTCAGGCTTTCTCACCTCTTTGATGAGTTTGACAAGCTGTCTTGCCACTTCAAAACTGTAATGATCAGTGATCGAGTATACCACTATGAATCCTTCGCCATTTCTTATGTAAGAAGCTTGAGCCTGAGTGAAACAAAAAATGAAAAAATATATATATATGAACTTTTAAACGACTAGACAAATTTTCAGGTCATTTATCGTCCTATCAAATATCAAATAATTTTATGTTATGACTAGACGTTAGATGGACGCGGTGATAAGAGGTAATGTCGAGGAAACTGTCTTTACTTAATGGAAATTTAATGGAAATTTAAGGGCAGGCGTTTAATAGAGTTCTTGCTGGGGGAATACAATAGAATAACAACCCCCGCCGTTAATTTTGAGCTTAGCAAATCTAAAGGGACGATTCTTTTGGCGCTTACAGTATTTTCTACTTTACGAAGAAGCACGTTCGCTTTTAATTTCGGCCTTGAATATTTTAAACAAAGAACAGCGATCTCAGTTATACGGGGTTGGTGAAGAAATGAGCTGGTTTGGGCAGGAAGGGTGGCTATTCACAACTAGCTTATATCTCTTAACGCTTTAACCCCTGAGAGTGACTAACATCTAACTTCTCCTTACAACATCACCACTGAATCAAACATTAAAGTCATGAGAATAAAGGAGATGATCACCAACTAAAGAAGCTCTTGATTGTTCAATAAATTCTCCTTGTCAGAACCTTAGGAAATGTCTAGAGAGTAGTATGGAGAATATGCATACTGATATTAAGGAGTAAAGGTTAAGGAAACTCGGGGTATGATTGGCTCCACATTCATCAACTAAAATCAGTCAAATCCAATTCCTTACAAAAGAAGAACTGATCGTCTTTTGGGTTATTAGAAAACAAGAAGCATTTAAAACAATGGTTCCATTCATCTCCGTAAGACCCCTACGATGCATCAAAACTATGTACGTGCAAAATTAATGGAGGGTGATTACACAAATGGCTGCCCTAAGTTGTTGATTTATCGAAGGACAATGCCTTTAGCTGATAGACTTTGAGACCTCACAGTTACCCTGGAGCTTTGTCTTCTTGGCGAACCCGACGGGGCATCATCCTTTAATATAACACATACGGCAAAAGAAGCTTATCTACTCAATGTTAGCTGGAGCTTGGAGCTTCGGCTGAGTACGGCTAATCGTATAAATGAAGGTTTTATCTTAAAAGCCTGTACTATACGCTAATTTCGCTAGTAATATAAGCCAAAATTATTCATGATTATAAATCCTTACACAAAACTTTCAATTACCACTATTTATCTCTCCCTATGACGGTCTTCACAAACAAAAATTAAAACATGAGTAGAACGTTATTTATTAGATAATTACTATTTTCAGTATCTTCAGCAGAATACAGTTATGTAACAGTGACTCCCACAACCTCTCTCTCATCGGAGATCTCCTGGAATAGATAGATCAGTGTTCCATGTGCTGAAGGTCACTTACGTTGTCAATCTTATCTGACAACTTGAGTGTGGTCATAGGGGAGCTAATTGAAAGCAATGGTGTAACAGCACTTTGTGACCACAGTTAACGTAAGAGAAGCTTCGATTTTACTAGCTGCTGCTTTAATGGTTTTAAAATTCTTGTATTTTGTCGACGTTTTTGTAACACTTTCCTAGAATTTTAGCTGCCTAACACTGTCGTTGTGTACGACAGTTGTGTGGCCCTGGAAAATTCACTTTAGCATCAGTAAATCACGAGATGTTAGTCTGTTATCAGTTGAAAAGATAAATCAAATCATTAAGTAAACATCTGTTTAATTTGAAAAAAGTTGATGATAAGATTCATTTAGCAAGGAAGAATTAAACACGAGGCTACGTGATGCGATATTGACTGTCGGACAAAAGTCTTATGGTGTTACTCAGTACGCTATCTTAGTCAAAAGATCGCTAATTTGAGGCTTAAGCTATGGGTAGAATTACCTGTAAACCGAGCTCCGTGGTCGGTAAAACATCCTGTTTTTTTTTCGAGCTAGCACTTAGAAAAAACATTTTAAAACAATCAGTAAATGATGAAAGAAGAAGCGACTAAACTGCTTACATTGCTAGCAGTGTCCAGAATGTCCAGTGATACATTGCTGTCACCAACCGGCAAGGATTTCTCATAAACCATCTCTAAAAGCCAAAAATACAATAGAACCATTAGCAGGTCTAAGTTTAGTAACAGGGCGGCATGGTGGGCTTCAAAATAAGTACTTCTATTGAACCAACAACAAAAAAGGCGGTATTATACAGATTAAAGCCATTTCCTCGTGTACGAAACCTGAAACCTCCGACTTTGAACGGAAATCATTTGAGATATACAAACGGGAAGACCAACGGCCTCCAGTCATCTACCCACTGTTTTTTTTTTTCAATTTTTAGTACCATTTCGTTGAATAAATTTGATATTTACTTACGCACACACAGAACTCAACCTGTGTTGAAATACTGCTGTGTACATCCAGAAAAGCTGTTCAAGTCCAGGTTAGTCTAGATCGCGTTTAAGAGTATTTTCGATTAACCAACATCCCGAGAAAATCAATCATGTGTTTATCCAAAGCTCTGGTTTTCGATCCGCGTGCGAGTAAGAAGGCGTGATCGTTATTAACCCTTAAGCGGTGCACGAGCGCAAGCGAAAAAAATCTGCTAAAGAAATTAACACTTAGAAATTATTTTTTGTACACAAACCTGTCAGAAATCAAATCAGACCGCACGACAAACTTATCCCGCTTTTCCGGATAGAAAAATATGATACCGACGACTTGCCGCAAGTTTATATTTCTACGCTGTCAGACAAACTACTTTGGATAAACTTCTTCCTCACCTAATGTTGGATCATATTCATTTAAAAATCGGCCAGTCACGAAGCGAACTACCAAAGCTGAAAGACAAAAGAGAAAAAAATATGTCAATCTTACTAATCGCTATTCAAACAAAACGAGATATTAAGGTTTGAGTAAAGCCGACAATATAAACTCTGATAACAAATCTAGAGTGACGTCTGTTCCTATCCATGAGAGAAGTTGCGGGCGAGGAATAACTATATCAGCTTTCCAGAAGGAAAGACTCGAGTGGTTCCCTCAAGAAATTTAGGAAATAAGTCCATAATTGATGATCCGTGCCAGATTAAGGATGCAATTATATTCTGCTTTCACGCCGGTTCTTTGTTCAATACATACATTGTGAAAAGAAACGATCATTACTTCCATGGTCATGAAAGAAGTTGTTCCATGTTTTATTTTCAAAAGCTTTCACAGTCACGATACTCTTTTATCTGCTGTTAATCTAATCGGAGAGCGCATCTTGATCTGTCTCAAATGTTTCGTCAATTGAAATTTTCTTGCATACTGACTAGCTTAGCGATCCATGTGTCTTGCGAAATAGAACTGCATGTTTCCTTACATTAATTCTCTAATTTAAGTTACAATAGCTGTGAATCAGCACTATTAGACGCTATGTGTTATATAATGTAACCGCTATGCATGGCCAGTTTACCTGTCTTTCCTACTCCTCCTGCTCCCAGCATAACTATGGAGTGCTTCTCGCTACAGGCAACACCCTCGGGGTCTTTATTCCCGGACTTAAACTTGCCACCCAGTAAACTTGACCGTTTCTTGAGCGATTGAAAGTCCAGCTTGGTCGGACTAAAATCGTCATTAGCAAAACTGAAACTATTGCTCCGAGTTGTAAGTGGCTTTTTATCGGAGGAGTATAGATGTCCGAGGCTTCCTCTTCTTTGTGCGTGGCCTTGGGTACTCCGCCGCTGTTGTGGTGGCGTGAAGTTTCGTGGCTGACGCATCGTAGCCGCTCCATACAACGTTCGCGGAGGAACCGTGTTTTCTCGTCTTAGCGACATGAAGGATCTATGCCTGCTGCATGATTCAATAATCTGCGTCGAGGCTCAATTAAACCGTCCAGTTGAAGCTGTTTTACCAATTTTTACGTTTGATTCTCCACGGTCCTTGTCTGTTCGCTGTGCGAGCGTATATGAGGTTAGAGGTTTCTCAGGATAATGTCAGCCAATAAATAGATCATATTGTTCAATCTGACAGGCGTTCTATTGTCATGCTCCCTTAAAACAACAAAGGACACTTTTCGACGCATACCATTTTGCGTTTCAGTATGCAAAATTCAAATGTCAAAACACTGTTATCCACTGAGGGGGTTTTGAGGATCAAGGACAGGCCAGTCAATCTTTAAGGATGTACACAATGATGTTACTCTTATGAAAGGTTACCATGCGTGCCTTTAAATTCCTTAGAGGGGACCTCACAATCTACTGATGTTGTGCCCTCAGTTGGCAAATGAAGTTTATGCTTTGTAGTTTGGTAAAAGCGAGTGGTTTCCGCTCGCAAGCTAATTAATTTGCTTTGCGTTTGTGGCTAAGACAATGGACTTATCGGATGTGTGCTAATGGAGAGCAACACTCTTTAAAAAAGAAGAAACTCTAACCACACTAGAAGTAACTTTAAGACGTAAAATTAAAGTGTGCACAGTTCCCCTCTGAAGACCCAACAAAGTCTAATAACTTCACAACGAAAATTGCCTGAGGAGATCTTTAAAAATCCATCATCCTTTGAACTATAACGTAATTGCAACCGAAGTTAACAAACCTTCCACTCAACAGAAGACGCCTCAAAAAGCATCATTTGGAAAGTTACATCGTAGAACGTGTTCGATTTCATATTTTTTGTACACTCTTGGGACTAATTAGCAAAAGCTATGTGTATCTTTGGTTTCTGTCGTTTCCATCGACCAATCGTCTCACTTCCGGTGTGTCGAAAGGCTTAAATGAAGTCATAATTGTTCATACAAAGTGTTGACATAATAGACCAATTGTGTTAGTTTGATGGCCATTTTGTCGTGGCGTAAATTGCCACTGTTGAACCACTGAAATAATACCTAAACGAAGTTATTTGCACGATACACAAATGAAATGTGTCTTCAGGAAAGCACGAAATGAAGAATAGGGTTTTTCTAAAGACTAAATTATTTTCCTTACATTTAATCGTGTACTGCCGAGGTAAGGTAAGTGATCTACAAGACGATGTATTATTTTCAAATACGAAAACAAAACTTGGCAAATTACTGCGGGGCAAACAGCCAGGAAAATAACAATCTCCCGTCTGATATCACTGTGACAGATTTCTACAAACAGGTTACCTAGAAAAGAAAAAATCAGCTGTCTCTCGCTTCACTTCTGACTCAGATTTCCAGGTTTACCCGTCAGTTGTCGTTTTTTCTCAAACGCGTTACCGGCAGTCTCTTCTGATCAGAAAGCTAAACCTTTACAGACCTTTGGTCTAATTACATAGGGTAAAACAGCAAGTCACTTTTAATATCAATGGCCTCATTAATCATCTTTGCGGGAGATATCTAATCGAAATGTGGTTCTAACGACGTAAAGTATACATACGTTCTTTGTGGATTATCTACTTTTCTGAACCGTAAAATGAGAATCAAGCGAATGGCTTCTCCATCTGGATTTTCAAAATATGCCCATAAGAGCAGAGAACTTGTGGGGATTATTGTGGATCCGTACATCTCTAGAAACAGATTTTTCGTGAGAAGATTCAGCCTAAGGTTTTGCATGGTTTCAAAATTGAAGGGTGTAACCGCTATGTAACACGGGGAAGGTAATTCAGACGCCAAAATACAAAGGATCACGGCACGGATACGGTGTAGAACATTCAGTACCTTTTAGATTCTAAATCACCATGGTTTGTGCCCTGCATACTACGATTCTCTGACCTATCGGCGATTATATTTACTTCCTTTTCCCTTTTTAAACTAAACGCTGCGACTGGAAAGGAAGTAATCTACTATCCTTGGGAAGCATATGCTTGTCTGAAGTAAGACGATGGAAACAATATATGAAGTGGAGCATTTCCAACTTCAGAATTAACATTTTGAGAAGCGGACTCGTTTCTTTCCGTTATGCGCTGATAGGGTAAATGCATGTGCCTTGTGATGAACCTCAAGTTGTTCGACTGAAGCCCTCATTACTACTATCAGGAAGATGATCTACAGTTGCTTTTCTTGAATTTTTGTTTTGCCTCCTTGTCTTTTTTTTTTCAGACAGAGAAAAAGTCTACTATTTCAAATAGCATGTTTACAATCTTACCTTAAGTTTTCGCGAATCAGTTGATCGAATTTATCGAGCGTGAAGAAGGTCTAAGTAATTCCAGTATTTACCAGTTCTGCCTTGTTAGCTTTTTAGCTCCAATCCTGTTGCAATTGACTTTGAATCTGAAGTGGCCTGCCTTGAATGTTGATAAAACGCTGTATAATGGGTCTAGGAATTGTGATACGTGTTAAATTAACAAACATAATTTGACAGCGAGTCGACCTTTGTAGACAAGGTATGTATTTCAGAAGTCATCGTCTGAGTTCAACAGCTATTAAAATTCTTTCAACTTGACCACGATAAGATGCTAAAATGTCTGCCAAATCAAATATTTATTTTTCCAGCGTTCTCCTGAACTCTGTCAGTACAGCATCTGCACTGAATCACGTACCAGACCAATACGCTTAAAACATTTTGGCGTCTGTACGATTGCATATCATGCTGGATTTCTTTTATAAGTCTAGACTACCACAACTTCAAAAAAATATATCAATATAGCTATATAGGATCAGGTCTCATCGCGTTCATCCAAAGTATACAGCACTACTGAACCACGGGTAGCCTACCAAGGGGCTCCATAAAGTGGTATGATCATAATACAAGGACAAACGTGCAGGAAATAGGAGAGCAGCGAGCTCTGCGAGTCAATACTGGTGGTCTGCACGAAATAAGTGCCGCTTTCCTCATCTATTTCGCCCACCAAACCGCAATGGGGAACCCATACGTAGGCAGCAAGTATCAGAGGCTTTCATATAGACAGACTGTGCATATGATTATTAAATAAAATTTTGAAGCCGAAAATTTCCCGATTATGTAAACATGTATGAAGCACAGGACTGTACAGTAGGGTGGTCGCTTTGACAAGCTCACACTCCCAGTGCCTCATTATTGCGTCGCAATTTTCTCAGAATCTCTTGAAGTTAATCTCCCTAAGAATAACTGGGAAGAGCATTTACTTCTGATATTTAATAACTGGGAGCAGCTCTATCTAAGGTTAAAACACTGACCATCGAATGATTACCTTCTTCAGTTCACCTCTATGGTTTTGTTGAAAATATCTTGGTTATAATAACAACTCTGTGCGATGATCAAACCGACTGTTCTTTCTGTTCCAACGTTGATTGTTTTATTCAGTCACCAAATTGGCAGGTTTGTCTTACGGCGCCACTCCGACTGTAGCTTTTAAGCTGTCTATTTCCGTATTTAATGCTCTGTGTACACAACTTTGAACAGTTCCACTGTGTTACATTGTTGCCAACTTGACGCAGTTCATCGTTGGTGGACGATACTTGTGCGAGGTTTGTCCTCGAACACAATCATCGTAGTCTTGAAGTGATAATTTTTTTTCTCAATTTTCAAGTAAGTGTTTAAGAATGTATTATGTGCGAACTGATCTTGCAATAAAAAAAATTACAAGTTTGGAATTCAAAGAATTTTCAAAGTGATATGACAGGTGATTTGAAGCTGCATTATTTATTCAATGTCAGAGATAAAAAGTACTTTGATGACATACATTTGTAAAGCGTGATAGCTCTCCACGTTTTTTTTTTTAAATATAAGCGATTAGTAATTTTATTCGTTTCGCTTTGTCGTGATTGTGTCCTTCCGCATTTTTAATCAGATATTTATCTTTTACTGTCAATAAGACTGAATAAAAATTCAGCTCAGGATCTAAATGGTAACGATAAGGTGTAAGTAGGGGAAATAAAAAGCGACAGTTCTTGTCAAACCTGAATCACAAAAGGCAATGAATTATCTCTTTTAACTCCTAAAATGATCCTGAAAGTTGATCCCTATAAGCAGGGGCTATACATTTCTTGGTTGGCCCTTTTATGAGAATTTAAGCTACGTGAAGACAATATCCCCAGTATGAGAGTTCTTTAAAGCCTCACCAACTCTCTGCTGACAGAATATTAGAATTGTAACTGGAATATAGTTGATTGACCACCCCTTGGACATGGTGGTAAAGGAGTTCAGCTGCTTCCATTCTATTCAGGGACCTGGTGATGACAGCTATTTCTCACCACGTGACTCGCTTTCAATCAGACGTTGTAGCCTCTGATAGGCTTAATAGTGCGATCCTTTATAACACATCTTGTAAGATGCCAAGGCCTGAGTCGCCTGTCTCCTTACCTTACCTCAGCTTCAGCAGAAACCTGTGTGGCTTCATAAAACTTATGCCCATTATTCACAAAGTAAATTTCAGTCCGGCTACTGTTCGTATTAAAAAACTTCAGCTCGTTCACTGAAATAAACAAGGCGCGACATATCATGACTTTATTCCCATGACCGTGCTGGAAAAATCATATGACAGACCGACTCACTTCCTTATATGTGAATATATCAAAATCTTTCAGGAAAAAGAAGGAGTGAAAGTACCGAATTTCCATAACCAGATCAATTCGGTTGACTGGCGTTAAATTAATGACCCCCAACATACAATATAACGCCTTTTAGGCGGATATCTTCATCACGATATTTCGAACCACGAACTCTAAGTAAACTGACTTCTAAGCTCTTAGCAGGTAAAAAAAACCGAAAAATTGGGTTCAAAGGGCAAAGTTATAGAAAAATAGCAAGATTTCCTAACGGCCTCGCCTGTTCAAAAGAATGAAATAGAATTAATCCAGAGTCGGACAGGAACATTTCCTAAGTCTTCTAACTCCTCGTCTGGTGCAACAGACTGAAAGTAGAAGACAAATATGTAAAATAGAAGTGGTCCAAAATCGCGCAATCTTAGCCTGTGGTTTTATCGTGTGGTTCAAATGATACTTGTAAACACACTGAACACGACTGAAGCATGACGCAACTTACATTCCCATATTTAGAGTTCTATGGCATAATATCGTTATCTCATAGCTGACGAGACAACAACACACAGGCTGATCGGTATGGAAATATTATTATGAATTAATGTCCTATTAAAGAACATTAAGTACATGCTGGACGAACGTAATGATCAACTGAACAAGAAAGGACAAATTTCGCCTTTAAAAGTGAGGCCAGACAAAAAGGTTAAGCATGGGAGGGAAGTTGACTTAGTCAACGCGTCAAGTCGATAATTAATTTAGGTGTATTATTCATAGTCATTTTCTTCTCCTGTTAAAGAAGGCTGCATGATTCTACATCGTCGTCTCCTGCATTGTTAAAGCGAATATCTACACATTATCACGGCGTGCATGAGGTCATGTAGATTTTTTCATGTTCAGTTATCATGATTTTGATCTCCATCTCGAGCCACGCGAAATCCGCCTTCCATTGTACCCACACAGAAGGGCAAAGGTCTAATTCCCGCCTTCGCGTCACATCGTGACGTCATTTTCGTATATCCGAGACAATCTCGATGTCGCGTCGTGAGATCTGTTTCGTTCTCGAATAACTATTTGTTTAGCGTGGACCGCGAAATAATCAGCGAACTAGATGTAATTCGGTGGATTTAAATTCCAACACTGTGTTGAGATGACAACTTTTTGAAACATGTGCTGAAAAAGAAGGTTTGGTCCCGCTTTGTTGGGGAAATGTGACGAAATGTGGAACCCTTTTGTGGGAAATAATGGAATGATTTGATCAAGACCGTGATACAGCTGCTCATTAAGGTGCTCGAAGTCAAGTTGTCTCTGGAAAGATTAACATCGAAGTTTAACCATGGCAAAAGATCAGGAATTACTTCAGGCGGTAAAAGCAAACGATCTTAACGCATTCAGGAAGATAGCAGCGAAAATAAAAGCGGCCAAATCAAGTAAGTGCTTTTCTTAACGCAAATATATCAAAGAAGTTTAATTCCGGTGTTTCCCTTTTGATAACGAATTCAAAATGTTCGGCATAATAACCCCATTCATTTATATTTAACGAGGGTTATCGCAGAAGTTTGCTGGTGGTGACTAAACGTCATTATAGCCTTCGTGCTCTTAAGTATCGTTGTCTTTTCACGTTAAATCTGGTTTGTTTCGCAACATTTCTCGCTCACGTTCGTGTGTCTGAAAGGTGATGACGGATTCATAGTCGCCTTCAACAACTCAAGCTGTTTATTTTGAGTAACCATTTGTACATTAGTCATGCTCTTAGAAACAGTAATTTAGCCTTTTTGTGAAACTACGAACCCTCCATTAGACAATCTTACTATCATGACTACAAATTTTGGCCGATCGGAAATTTTATTAGTGATTCAACTCTTGTTTATTGTCGTAGAGAATTTGGGAAGGATATTGAGGCCGGATGTCAAATGCACGCCAAAAAGCGAAACAATCACATATTTAGCACGAATTTCCTCTTTCATTTTGATAACATTACAAAGGACTTGTTCAGAACCTTGTCAGGTGGTTGATTATAAATGTATCTACTTGTTATCTCGCTGAACGCAAGCCTAAGTGACCAAAGAGATACTTGTATCTTGAATTCACATGATTCGATATTCACCTATGACAAAAAAAATATTATGTAAGTTTTTAAGTGATCCAATTTGTTTTCCAGTCATCTGAATGCATCTTCGAATAATGCTTGTCTACAAATTTGCCCATTTGTTTATTTAATGGTTTGCAAATTATCAGTGAAATAGTTTGCTTTGTATTGGGATTATTCCTTTCCAGACATTTCCAACTGTTTTGTTTGTCCTCGTAGCAGTAAATCTAGACAATATAGCACAGATTTTTAACATGTTGCCTGTTTTTTACTTTGCTTGTATGGGAGACTCACATGCTCAGACCCAAAAACAGATATAGATATTGTATTTATAAATTAATAAACACAGTGCTATGTATAACAACTTAATTAACAGCCGAGGATAGTCTATAACCTAATTGAGAAAATCCTATTCGACAAAAGAATGATTCTTTAAAATATTTAATGATAAACTTATTCCTTTTTAAAAGAAATCTGGCAGATGTGTATTAAGGCAAAATTGATATTAGTGATTATCTTCATTTGTGACACCTTGCTGCCCTTTTAGAAAAATTATGTGCTAATGTGGTAAATTAAATTCAGTGAGGTCATTTAAGCTGGTACAGACATAATTTTTTACTGATAAATATTCTTATTCAAATATGAAAAAAAACTGTGATGAAAAAAAAGTAAGGTATGAAGCAGTTCCCACATCTCTTGGATGAAAATATTGAGCAAATTTAATCTTCTCTCCTGTTGGACTTTCTAAGATGAGTTTAAGGATATATAACAACTGTGCATTTACATTTACTTACAAATTCATGTATCATATTATACCAATGGAAAGATTTCTTCAAAAGTATAAGAATGTGATTTTCATTTACAATGCACTGTAGAAATGATCCAGCTATTGATATTTTAATTAGTGCATGAGTAGAAACACCATGAGGTTGTCAGAAACTTCAGTGAGGTTGTGTTATAGTATAGCTCAGAGGTACTTGGCCCTAAATTCACGCAAGAAGTGCATTTAAAAAAAAAACACGCACATATGGTGTATTAGATTTATAACAAGGGAGAGATTCTGATGTTGGTGACATTACATGGTTTTGTCCCGAAGTTTATGGCTCTACAGTATATCTGTGGTTTGTGAATAAAAAGTGCTATGATTGTTAATGAAATATTACTATTTAAATTACCACGAACATATGTTTTTCTTCAGAAAAAGGTGGCAAGAAATACAGTGTAAATATTCAAGATGAAGAAGGGTAAATACTTTTGTTTTATAATTTGAAAAATACAGTTTTATGTGGTCTTAAATTCTAATAATACTTCTAATTCTAGTTGAAGTATATGCTGAACCACTTTGATTACAACAAGCTTCTCAGTTTTCAAAGCTTCTTTGTCCTTTAATTTGTTAGAAGTGGTTAATATGTCTGTCAAATTACTTGTGTCGTTAATTGTTTTTATATATCGGCTCTATGCAATATTACCTGAGCTGTTGACTTGTCGCTTTTTCAAATCCAAAAGTTCTTTGTCACTGAATTATAAATTTAGGCATTGAAGTCTCCTTTTTTTTCATCAGTACATGTATAAAAATTGTATATGCATCTTGTACTTCCCTGCATCTGAGCATATGAGATGTGCCTGCACAATCAACTTATACATGAGTGGTACTGTAAGTTGTGTTTCATTTTCTTTTACCAGATTCACACCCACTCACCATGCATGTCTTATAGGCAGCAGTGAAATTGTCATAGCACTCATTGAGTTGGAATGTGATGTCAATGCCAAAGATAAGAAAGGTAACAATTATATTAAAATACTGATGTTTTGGCAAAATATTATGAATGTAAACAAGGTTGTTAGTTTCTAAAGAAACTGCTGCACTGCTTTAGCTGGTAGATGAAACAATTGATATGTTATAAACTCTAGGTTGACCATTTGACCTCTATGAATGACTAGCATCTAATTTATCCTATGTTATCACCCCTAAATCATACATTTAAGCCACAAGAATAAAGGAAATGATTACCAACTAAAGAAGCTTTTGATTGTTAAACAAATTCTCCTTATCAGCACCTTAGGAAATGTAACAAGAACAGTGTGGAGAATATGCATACTGATGTTATGGTGCAAGGGGTTGATAAAGGAGGGTATACTGCCTAATTAACCAAAAGAGTAGCACCATCGATCTCTTTTTGTACATGAAGTCTCCCCTTTGTTCCTTTTTATCTCTGTCCTACAATTATAATATTCTATAGTTTAAAGGCAATTGGAAATATTTACTTATTTTTTTCCTCTATTGAACTGTTATTTTTTGTCTTTCTCGTTTTGTAGGAATGACTCCCTTGCATTTAGCTGCCTGGTCAGGAAAAGTGGAAGTAGCAAGGTTGTTGTTAGAGGCTGGAGCAGAAGTCAACAGTTGTTCACAAAATGGAGACACACCTCTTATTTTAGCCTGTCAGCATGGAAACTCTGATGTGGTAAGTGCACAGATTTATCTTTCTGTAGCTTGGAGGAGAAGTAATGTACAGCTTGAAAGACTAATCAAAAGTGGTCCAAGAAGACTGTTCATAGCAAGGTTTTGCAAAACTTAGAATGATCTAGAAAATTCTATTTTAAATATTTTGCTTTCACAAGTGGCTGCAGCTGTAAATTGAAAAACCAATTTGATCTGGAAAAATTTCTGTAATATCTCACTGAAACATTATTGTGAAAGACCAAAATTGATCTTATTGAGATATTTGATCATCAATACATGTACATGTATTATTCCAACGAAACCTTTGCTCAGTTGGCTCTTGGAAGTCAACTTATGCGCTGTAGAAACAGAAATTATGTTTTAACCAAAATTAATATTTCTGAGGTTTGTAATCTTTAATATATTCCAGTGAGAGCCTTAGCTCGACTAGTTTTGGGCAGTCCTCTTATGCACTGTAGAAATTATAATATTTGTTTTCTGTAGTTGCATAGAAAATGTGACTGTATAACTTTACATATTTTTTTTGAGGAGCCAGTCTCAGTAATGTTAATGTCTTGCATACATTTTCTGCTTCTGTAGCATCTGAGCTCCCTAGACCCAAACAATCTTTGTAATGAATTCCTTTTGTAGGCTGATGTGCTTTTAGACAGGAACTGTAGTACAATGACAGTTAATAACAATGGAGAGGCAGCTTTGGACCTTGCCTGCAGATTTGGACATGTTCATGTGGGTACCACATTTCTAACCTGTTTTTGTCTTCACCTCAAAATTCCAGGAGCAATGGAAACACATTCTCCCTTCTCCTTGTAAAACCAGTACATTTTCTAGAGAATTGCATCTATGAATTAGTGAGAGGGTGGTGTACTTGGTATACATGTAACCTAATATGTTACAGTAATGTTGTTTAAGTAAAGAGAATTAGCAAAAATTATAAAAAAATGGAGAAAGTCAATGCAGGATGCTAACTCTTCATCACTATGTGACTGCATTAAAAAAAACAAACAAAAACAAACAAACAAACAAAACAAGGGGGATGAAACATTTGTAAATTGTAAATCAAGTTAAATTAATTTAAGTCAGTTCTTAAGGCATATGGAACTAGTTTGATCTTTTCATCATGAGGGCTTCATAATGCAGAGGGAAGGGAATTCTGAGGAGAAACAAATTTAAAAGAGTTTCTCACCTTGATAGTTATGCAGTTCTTGTAGACGGGCTCTCTTTGTGATAAAGTGTTCTTTGGTATGGTTGCACCTAGGTTGTTGAACTGTTGCTTAACACCAAAGAGGTGAGGAGTGCATTGGCCACTGGTGCAGTGCGTAAAACTGATCCACCATTGCATGCAGCTTCAAAGACAGGTCACGTAGAAATAGTCAGGTAAGATTTCAGGAAGCTGTTGTAAGTTTTGTAAACTTTTTCATGATGTCTTAGGGTTTTTGCCATGGCTACATTCAATTATTATCACTGTTATTATTATTTCTATTATTGTTAGTGTTTTTAACACCAGTCGATTATGAAAAAGTTCAGCTTCTTTTTTTAAAAATTCCACTCTGGCCATCAAGAGATGATAGAAGTTCCTGGTTTTTGGGTGCTCCTTTCAAACAGTACTAGTCATCTATAAGATATTTTCATAATCCTCTTCACAGAATGTTATTAGAAGCTGATGCAGATATCAATCAAGTTACCAGTAATGGTTCATGCTTACATGAAGCAGCTCTCTATGGTAAAACAGATGTGGTCAACATGCTCCTTGATGTAAGTAAATCAGTCATTGCAATTTGTTTAAACATGTTTCCTGGCCACAGAGGGAGAGAATAAAGCTGTCACAAACCATATGGAAGTAGCTGTAATCTGTTTGGGCTTAACCAGGTTTTAAGCAGAAAATGATAGAGTTTGGTAGAGTGTTCATCAACATTCTTTAGATCAGCTGCTTAAGAGTTTGAGAAGTTTTCTTATTGGTAAAGAAGAGATTCGTTTTGCCCCACCCATCTTACTGTTAGTAAATCAAAAAGTTGTGAAAAGAAGTTGTGGAATAAATATCGTAAATGATGCCCTGATACATGTAAATCCTTTACCCTGGAACACAATTCAGTGACATGCAATACATGTTAAACGTATTATTTGTTTTGTGTCATTCCGTTTTAGTGGGGTATCAATGCAGATATACGAAATGATGAAGGACACACGGCACTTGATATGGTTAATCTTTTCACGAGTTCAAAAGCATCAACAGCAATTAAAAAACTGTTAAAAGGTAACTTGTTTCACCAACACTTAAGGCGTGGTTTGCAAGCAAAGATTCCAATTTCTCCAAAACTATAGGGTTTGATTTATTCAGCGTTTTGAAAAGATCTAAAAGTTAGAGGAGTTTTGGAACAACTACTCTCTCTTTTAATGACCAGGGTTTTTTAGAAAAAATTTATAGAGGACATCGGGACGGACGGGAGCATTGTCCTTTATAGGGTTTCAACATTTACTTAACTGTGATATGACGTTCTTTGGATGATAACCCGTTCGGACAAAATATTCGGCAGTTCTATTCAAAACAATTATCGTCTGTTTACCTGTGTTAGACGCAGCTTCTGCAGATAGCACTGTGTATGCCAAAGCCGTCAGGGATCATTTCAACGTGATGGACTCAACAGCCCTTCCGTTCAAGACTGGAGAAACAATCATCGTAAGACACTGAAATAGAGCACTTTTCATTGGCGTTCTCTCTTTTTCTTTTGCACAGTCCACTTGGGTCTTTCAGTGTTAGAATGTTTTGTATTCTAGTCTAATAAGTCATACACCCGCCTTCTCGTCAGAAAAGGAGTGGAACCATGACGAGCCGAGTTCATGAAAAATGTTTTAGATCACTAAGTGCTATTGTGCGATATTTTAAGCAGGAAAAATGAGCTAACCAAGTGCGATGGCGATAATATATAGTTTCATCAATAATGAAATTCAATGACCGGCTTGAGCGTGTAACCTCTCCCTCCTTCTACATCGACTTCTCC